AGACAGAGAGTTATTTTCAAAATATAATATTAAGTTTTAATTAGCTTACCAAACCAACATTTTTATTCTTTCCAACTAATTATTTGAGAATCTCTGAAGAGAGCAGTGGTGGCTAGTGAAAAAGAGATTTGTTAAGCTTGAGGAAATGATATGAGGTGTTTTTTTTTTCCCCTGAGGTTGTATGCCATTTGTGTTTTTTAAAATCTCTTTTTTATATGTGCTAAAGACCACTGACAGCAATTTTCAGACAATCACAAGTAGGTGAGAAGTAAGGCAAGGCCACATTCAGGATCTCAGTGTGGTTTGGACTGAAGGAGGTCGGTGGGAACTAAAGTCTTCAACTGGAAAGACATTCAGGTTTGAAGTAATAATACTTGAGGCACATTTGTTGCAGAAAGGTGGTTTTATTAAAGCACAGCGACAGTACCCGTAGGCAGAAAGAGCTACACTGGAGTCGTGAGGAGTGGCCCGTTACATACTTTCAAGCTGGGAGGGGGTTAGGGATAATATAAATCTCAAGGGAATTTTGGAAGCAAGGTTTCCAGGACCTTGAGGAGGCTAGCTCTTGTTGGGAAAAGGTCATTTATTACTGTCTAATACAACCTTAGTCATGAAACCCTTCAGATGTATATCGGTGGGTCATATGCTTGGGGAATGATTGCCGATGTGTATCCTGGGGAGTAGAGATAAAGGAAGTTTCCAAAGGAATTTTTATATGTCAAAGTAGACTTTAGAATTCTGGAGGGTCAGGCTAAGATTGCCTTTTGCCCTTAGCAAAGTATTAACATTGAGGCAGCTAGGTTCCTAGAGGAATGTCACTCTGCCTGTTTCAAGGACTTGTCAATGGGCTGTAAGTAGTAAGGAAATTTAATAATTTTTCTTCTGCCTTTGTTTCCCACATCATAATGACTTCTGGGCTTCCAGGATAAAAATTAGGCAACTTAAAACAAAAACAGGGATGCCTGGGTGGCTCAGCTGGTTAAACGTCAGCCTTCAGCTCAGGTCATGATCCCAGGGTCCAGGGATCGAGTCCCGCATCGGACTCCCTGCTCAGCCGAGAGTCTGCTTTTCCCTCTGCCTGCTGCTCTCTTTGCTTGTGCTCTCTCTCTCTGGCAAATGAGTAAATAAAATACTTAAACAAAAACAAAAAGAAATCTTTGATCCACAATCTACAGGAAAAGAAAAATCCTGGAGAAGTTTAAGAGAACTGACTTTGCGCTTAAGCCAATAAAAAATTAGATAAAAATATAAGGTGATATTAGAATCCATAAAATTTGAAGGCAGTCTGGAATATATATGCAGTAGATGCTGTAGGACTATGTGATTTGCCTGGCTCCCCCTTCCCGCAGCTCTGGATTTGGGGTTGTGGTGGATACAAACCCTGTGTGCCTTTCCATCTGCCTTCTTCTTCCTGAGGGTCTCCCCTGCCTTCCAGCCCAGGCTGCTGCCACCAGAGCTGCTGCCAGTCTCCTAAGGTGGCTGGAAGCCACGTTGAAACCCTGAGCCTGTGTTTCTCACTCTGAGTGACCCCTAACCATGCTTAGTCTCCTTTTGCTCTCAGCATGGATGAAACGTCACACTGTGGGGTACGACGTCTGGTTTTCTGAGCAGCCATGAAGGGTTTGGGTGATACACCCCAGAAGTGCAGGAGAGTCTGTTCCCTGTGAGCTAAACCTTGACAAAGGGGAAACAGGAAATAGTAGGGACCATGCAAGCAAGTTCCCTCTTTTTTTTCTTCCCTGTGGATTGCTTTAAGATCTTATTTCTTCCCAAAGATCTTCTGGAGAAGTTCCAGGTGCTAAGCCAACATCCTTGCCAAGAGCCTGCTGAGTCTCGTCATAGCTCATCGTCCCGTGGTGGTCAGCATAGTAACACATCACCCCGTTTTTTTCTCGCCTCTTTCCCCCTATTTCCTCACTTTTACCATTCTAGGCTTGCACTTCCCAAATAAAGCGTCAGCACTTCAATCCATGTTTCAGGCTGTATTTCAAGTTTGTCCAAAAGAACTGTAACAACAGTACTCACTTCACAGGAGTGCTGGATATTTCCCCCTCAGTCCACAGGAGTCACTCTCCACGTTTTTTCCACCCTGCCCCCTGCTCTGGGAGGCTCTAGAACCAAATCAACAGGGTACCCACACCCTCCAGCTACCACTTACATCCCACCAGTGGGGCATCCTGGTAGGATATTAGAAGGATAAAGTATTTATTTTCCTGACACCAGGGAGAGGTCACCTGGAGCTGTTTGTGTCATCAAAAGAAAGTCACAGCTGGTGGTCTCCTCCATCTGACAGTCTTGATTCCTGAGACCCGCTTCCTCCTCTCGTCTCTTTGGACCCAGGGAACAGAACAGCTGCACACTGCTACGCTCAGGTTATACACTGTCCCCTACAGCTCTTCTTCACCCTGCCCACTCCCGTGAAATCGATCTCTTTACAAATAAATTATTCAAATTTGAATTATTCTAATTTTGACATTGCTATCTGTTTCCTATTGGGACCAGTACTGAAAAGGAATGGTTAAATTATAATATGTTTTATATGAGTTGGAATAGTGCATAGCCATTACAAATCAACTTCTGTTTGGTATAAAAGCAAGAGATGCAGTTTAAACACACACACACACACACACACACACACACACACTTAGGAAGATAAGCAGTCAGAGTTCTGGAGGAAAACAGAATTCCATCACCTGAAAAGGGCTCTAAGGAAGGGACCACTGAGGGGAAAGCAGACAAAGTAAGAGGAATCAATAGAGGATGGTGAAGACCGGGGACAAGAAAGGGCAGAAAACACAATCGTGCCAACTGCTGATGGGGCAAAAGGAAGCAACAGCATTAGGACACCCAAGCCCAGTCCAAGCGAGAGGCCTAGAGAAATGGTCACTTCTCCAAAGGTGTAGTCAAGGAGAGACACGGGCCTGCCAGCACCTCATCCCAGCAGGTTGACAGAAGGAAATGCCCTGAACTTTGTCCTCTCCTGCCCACGAATCCTCTCTCCAGTCTCTGGCCTCCGGTCAGCACTTCCATTGTCTGAAGCCAGCTGGAAACTAGAGTGATGGCAGCTCGTGGGGGTCAGCCTGCTTGGGCTCAGAATGGGGCTGGCAAGGGCGAGGGATGGGTTTGGGTTGGCACGACATGGGGCTGGCAACAGACAGTAACCAGAATGATTGGGGCATCAAACGCCATGCAAATATAATCCTAACTTTGTGAAAAGTGATATATGTATTTATGCATAAGGGAAGACGGAACTAGAAATTTGAAGTAGCAACTTCATAGTAGTAAGAGAATTTTTTTTTAATTTGTTATAGGGTTTTGTATATTTTCCAAATCAAAGAATGGTTATGTAATACTTTTAAATATACCTTAAGAAAAAATAATGCTAATTGGATGAGATGGTTATTTTAGTGTTCATTTTTAAAGGAAAAGTTTCTATTGGTTGCTCCTCATGGTAAGAATTTTACTTCTTGGGGCACCTGGTTGGCTTAGTCAGTTGAGCCTCTGCAGTTGAGCGTCTGCCTTCTGCTCTGGTCATGATCTCAGGGTCATCCAATTAGCATTATTTTTTCTTAAGATTTTATTTATTTATTTTTTTTAAAGGAAAAGTTTCTATTGGTTGCTCCTCATGGTAAGAATTTTACTTCTTGGGGCACCTGGTTGGCTTAGTCAGTTGAGCCTCTGCAGTTGAGCGTCTGCCTTCTGCTCTGGTCATGATCTCAGGGTCCTGGGATCAGCCCCATGTCAGGCTCCCAGCTTAGTGGGGAGTCTGCTTATCCCTCTGCCTCCCCACCCACTTCATGCATGCTGCACTCTCTCTCTCTCTCTCTCTCGTTCTCAAATAAATAAATAAAATCTTAAAAAAAAAATAATTTTACTTCCTGAATTTTCCCAGAAGTAGGATCTTCTCTAGAGTAGGGTTAAGGCCAAATGAGAGGGATGTTTTTATTGATTGGTTTACTCTCAAAGCACTACTTTGTTTCCCTACCATCCTGCCAATCATTGAGAAAGAATAATCTAAGTGGGAAAAATGGTATCCCAGCTCTAATCGTATTAGATGGAGTCCCATTAATTATGATCATCTTTGTATTGTAGCAAAGCTGGTCTGTGATATTCACTTTGTCAAACAAAATTTCTTATGATGCACAAACCTCAGTGAATAACCATTAATATTCAGCTTCAAATCTTTCCAATTTAATTATATTGTAAACACATCTCTCCAATTATGTTTGCTTTCAAAACATTTTTTAGAACTGTTTGGTGTCTTCTTCTCTTCCTTCGTGTCTCTTACATTGTCACTCGAACAACAAAGCGCTGTGGAGGAGGACAGGGGTGTCGTCAGTGGCCTGCGTCCATCTTGGCTCTTTGCACACCCAGCCCCTTCTATTCCCAGCACTGTGCATAGGCTCGCTGGCCGCACACATGGGGTGCAGGGTAAAAGTGGCCACTTCCTCCCGAGAAATATTTAGCATGTACAGAATGAGATAGCAAATCTTTGGAATGTCACAGACCAGCTGTTGATGGCAGTATTCCTAAAGCAAATCCTTAACCTCCATCAGTGTCTCAGCACTTCTCAGTCCCTGTGCAAGCTCTGGCCTGGGAAACTCTACTACCTGCCAGGCTATTTAAAGCTAAGGATTATGCAGAGATAGCAGATGCAGTGTATTATGCTGTCTTCTAAAATCTAAAATTCTAAGTAGCATCAAAGAATGTAGAGTAAAACTCTTTGAATTCAGTAATTACACTTTCTAAAGTGGTTTCCTAAACTTGATACAAACTTATAAGAATATGAGTCAACACATAAGTTTGTAACATTGCATAAATATCCACAGAACATATGCTGTTGTTAAAAATACATCAATCCAGCACTCAGTTTGACTTTTTAAAAATGAGGTACATATTTAGAACTTTTTTTTTTTTAAATAAAATTTACATCTGAAAATTCCAGTATTACATTTAAGGCAGTAACAGCTGTAATGAATCATAAATACATTTCAGGCCCAATTCCTAAGTGCTGTATTTCAACTTTCAGACTCTATATTTACAGATTCCACTTCAATTAAAATTCCTTGAAAAGCTTGTCAAAAAAAAAGAAAAAGAAAAGCTTGTCAAGTGAAGGGAATCACAACTTTTTTTTAGCAATATAGAAAGTTTTCATAAAATGGATAAGAAATTCATATGGCTCTTTTGCCATCAAGCATTACAAATGCAGTTTCTGGGACATTTCTTGGAGTAATGAAGAAATAAGTCTGAATCTTCACTAGAATCCACATTGTCTCCTAACTGTCAATGTTTCAGGTGTTAGGTTAGCATCCCTTTGAGCTATAGAAACATTTAACAATTTTCCTCTCTGAGTAAGAATAACAAACACAACCTCAACATACCAGGAACTACGTTTCTATTTTCAATCTTATAAAAATCATTTCAAATGTGGTTAATACAAACATCCCCTTGGTACCGTTGGCTGAACTATAATGTTCCTCCTGCCGTATGAACAGGAATTGATAAGATGTCACTGAGTCCCAGCTGGCTCCTTTACTTCCACCACCAGAATTCCATCGTGACAGAGGACGGCCGACAAATCTTTGGTTTCGATGCCATCTGGCAGTTTATACTGTCGGGTGAAACTTCTTGAGATAAAACCATGCTCATCCATTCTGGTTCCGTGCTGAGCCTTGATCAGCAGCCAGCCTTCGAAGGTCTGAATGATGATATCTTCAGGGAGGAATTGGACCACGTCCAGCAGGATCTGGAAGCGGGATTTGCCTTCTTGGGCCGACATCTTGGCCTCTGAGTCCACCGGAGGAAGCTGGGCCTCCCTGGCTTTTCTCAGGTCCACAGTAGTTGGCCCCGGCAGTGCATACAAAGCGTGGTCCAGCCTGCAGTCTTCCAAGCCTCGAGCTTCAAACTCCTCCTGGTAGCGCACTGGCGTCTCAATGAGGTGCCTCAGGATGATTTTTGCCATGGTTGGAGGCAAAACCGGTGTCGAACAGCTTCCCTTCAGTCTGTGTTCGGTCAGAGGCGAGCCCTTCCGGTTGCCTACTGACTAGATCACCAGTTGTAACCCTGCGCAGACGCGACTCCTTCATTAGGCCTGAATCATACCACCACACACCCACTCTTGTCTTTTCACACATGCTGACAATGGACAGCTATTTATAGAGCATGGTTCGAAGTTGCATTTAGCGCGCAGCCCGCTCAAGCTGCCCAGGCAAGGATAGTCCTTACATTCTCAGTTATCCTTGGCAAGTGTGTCTGCTTTGCTTGCCTCAAGAGAAAAAGAGACTCAGAATCAGAAACAGCATTAAAAAAAAAAAAAAAATCTCTGAGTGTGTGTCTGTCCTTGAACTACAGTGATCTAAGGGACTGTGGCTTCTTAGAACAGTCCAAAGATGTGCACTCATCTTATAATATGAGCTAAGACTGCATTCGTCCTTGTCCCCAAGTGCAAAGCTGGGAGGGATGAATGTAGCTATAATTGACTAGGAGTTAAGACACACACACAGATACTCAAATCTCAGACATGTGACCAACTCTCACCCCTCTGGTCTATGCATTTTCTTTTCTTTTCATCTTTTCATCATTTGTCCTTAAGGGACATCTGAGCCAAGTCTTCTGGGCTTATTACATCTGATTTATCAAAAATGAGATCACATGACTAAGTTAGATAATGATGTCAAACCTCAGATGGGAGTGGACGGGGGCATAGAGTGGGGAACTTAGCAATGAAAATAAAGCCACAGGGGAGAGTAAAATGTTAAAGCATTGAACTATTTGATAGTAAAGCCCAGAAAACTAAGGATTGATCTAGTTGTAGCTCTGCTATTAAAAGGCAAAAGTAAATGACACGCAGTTTCTTAATTATCACACCCTTTATATTCAACTTACATTAAAAAAAATAAATGAGGCAACTCTATCCATTGCTGGAGAAGGATTTCCAAAACATGCTTAATAAAAGGAAAAATCCAGAACAGCAGATAATATGCTACTATTTATGCTTTTTTAGTAAGTATGTATTTGCTTATATAAATAGAATCTCTCTGGAAGATATGTGGCTGAACACCACGGAACACTGGCTGCCTCCTGTGATGATATCAGTGGTTGGGAAGCAGGGTCTGGAGGGACACTGACTTTTCACCATGAAACACATTTGTGCTTTTTATTCCTACAGTGTGTGTAAGGTACAAATGCACAAGAAGTTTTAAAATGTAAAAATCTTCCACTCCATGGAGATTTGTATTTTCTAGAATGGGTGTCAGGAATACCTTTCCTTAAAAATCATATATCCATTTTCTTAGAATGATAGAAAAATGTCTAAAACAGTAAGTGTCAGAAAACAGAAGGGAACGACCTCCCTTGGGTCCTTTTTATTACTCCAAAAACCTCTACAGACATTTTGGTGTGTGCTTAAAGAACATGCTTTAATAATGCTGTTTACACTCAGCTTTTTTGACCTGCACTTTACAAGTTGGTGGCCCTAGAGAGGAACATGTACTCTTTTTTTTTTTTTTCTTAAAAACTTTTTTATTTATTTGGGGGAGAGAGAGAGAAAAAAAAACGAACAAGCAGGGGGAGGGGCAGAGGGAGGAGACTTCCTGCTGAACAGGGAACCTGTGGTCCTCCCTCCCAGGACCCCTGGATCATGACCTGAGCTGAAGACAGACAGACACTCAACCAACTGAGCCACCCAGGCACCGGAACATGTACTCTTTTAGATATTTTAATGTCCTCTGACTCATAAAATATTGAGAGCTGTTTTCATCAGTGCTATTCTGAGGGGTAAGTCAAGAATAGAGCACACTGCCTGTGGCAGGAAATAGATAAGATATTAAGGATTTGGCTTTAAAATACTTGAAACAGCCAAGGCAAAACTGAGAAGGTACAGAGGTTTTTCATATAACCCCTACCCCCATATAGGCATAGCATCCCCCATTGCCAGTACCCCCCCCCCACCAGAGTGTTACATTTGTTGCAACTAATGACTCTGCGTTGACATGATGACCCACAGTGTCCATTAGGGTTTGGTGGTGTGCATTGTGTGGATTTGGAAAAATGTATAAGGGTGTGTACTCACTATTATAGTATCATACAGAGTAGCTTCACCACCATAATAATCTTCTGTGCTCTACCTGTTCATCCCTCCCTCCTCTGACCATGCTCTAAAAATTGCTGTAAGAAATAAAGCCTAGGGCGCATGGGTGGCTCAATGGAATAAGCCTCAGCCTGATCTCAGGGTCCTGGGTTCAAGTCCCTCATCAGGCTCTCTGCTCATCAGGGAGCCTGCTTCCTCCTCTCTATCTCTCTCTCTTTCTTTGCCTCTCTTGCTGCCTACTTGTCAAATAAATAAATAAAATCTTTTAAAAAATTTTTAAATTAAAAAAAAAGAAATAAAGCCTATTTAAAGAACTTAAACTGAAAACCTAAAAACTAAAACTGCTCTAAAAAATAAACTTAAAAAAAAACTGCAAAGTTATTGTTCGGTTGGGCAGAGAAAAATGTATCTAGTAATCTTACAGTTTATCGCCTCCAGGAACCTTGAAAATAGGCAAGGAGGACCAGGTGTGAGAGGTGTTTCCACGTGGGATTGTGTGTATGACTTGCTGCGGTTAGAAATGAGCATCCACATTTCTGATGCAACACCCAAGACCTCTCTCAGCGTTTTCCCAAAACTGCCCTTTGATCCTGCCCACCCCTGAACTGCCCTCCTCCACCTCATCAACTACCTCGACCCTTTCTTCCTTTGGAGAATCCACCAGGCTTCCAAACTGGTCTTTCTGCCCCACTTCTTGCCCTACTGTCCTTCCTCCCTGGGTTGTTTTTGTTTTTCTTTTCCCTATAAACCCAGTATAATACTACAAATGCATTTCCTCTTCCTTGTGATTTTCCTAATAACATTTTCTTTTCTTTTCTCTCTAGTTTACCTTATTATAAGAATACAATATAATACATATAACATGCAAAATGTGTGTTCATCAACTGTTCAGGTTATGGATAAGGCTTCCAGTCAATAGAGGGCTATTAGTAGTTAAGTTTTAGGGGAGTCAAAAGTTATACTCGGATTTTTGACCGTGTAGGGTGTTGGTACCCCTAACCTCCCACTGTTCAAAGATCAACAGTACTCAGTCCCTGCTGACCTCTTCCCCATCTCTTCTCTTGATCCTATGATCCAGCCACACTATGTGTTCTTGAAGACAAGTTTATTTCTTCCTTGTTCCCGTTGTACTAGAGACCGTCTTGTTTTGAAAGTTCCACTCTCAGAATGTCTCAAGGTTGCCCTTTTTGTACCATTCAGGCCTCAGATCAAATGTCATCTCTTCAGGCAGGCCTTTCCTGACCATCCAGCGAAGTCGCCCACCTGTCACTCCATTACAGTACTCTGTTTTCTCTTCATCACCATGACCAGTATGGAAAGCCATCTTACTCATGACTTTACATTCCAGTTGGGCAAGGCAGACAATGGCAGTCTGGGGTCAGAAACTTAGGGTTCACTGATGTGTCCCTGCACCCAAGACCGCACCTGGAAAGTGATAGGAAAAAAGACGTCACACTGCTATAGATTTTGTACTTCTTATTTCACTTGGTCCTTGATGCCATTTGGCCATCCTTCCATGTACTTTGATCAGCTTCTGCAGTTTCTCCAAAGGGGATGCTATAGATGTCTTCCACTCCTCCGGCCTGATCTCCCTCTCCCAATGAACTGACTTCCCTGAGGCCTTGTACATTCACACCCAGACATCGCAGAGGAAGAGAAGCTTCCTCTATCCTTTTATCCCTGGCCTGTGATTCCCTTGTCCCCTCCCTCCTCCTCTGGACTTTCATCCAGCCACTTACCCCTTCCTGGGTATTCTCCAGTCTCTCAGTATCCACACTCCATCAGCCTAAGGTCAAGTATGTCCCATCTTCTTAGAACAAGACTTCCTAGACCTTCTGTCACCTTCAAGCTAGTGATTCTCATCCCCTCCCAGCCCCACTCCTTGGATTTGTAGCCTGGATTCAGTGGTCACTCTCCACCCTGCTGCAGAATAACTTTTGCCCTACTGCCAACTCCACCTTGGTTAGGTCGAAGTCAGCCTCATTGTTAAGTCTATACTTCATCTTCCTGCACCTTCAGCATTTGACATAAGCTTCTCAACAGGAAAGAACATAAACTGTTTTATTCCTAGCTCCCTTGAGAGGGCTAGCAGAGTTTTATTTTATTCCATGAATTCTCAGTGAGGACGATCACCCACAAGGGGACAAAAATTGGTCCTTATAGAGAAAAAAATGCATGTAATTTAAGATTATGTAAAATCTTAACTGTTAGATAATGGTTTGTGGCCCTCCAAAGGGCCACAGTACACAAACAGACATGTCTTGTATCTGTGGTATTAAAATTTCACAGGGGACGGGGAGGAGCATTAGGTGAAAAAGGTCGCAAAAGACTTCTTGGGGTGAGCGGCACGGTGCAATAATAAAACAGGTGGGAAAGGGACACCTGGGTGGCTCAGTTGGTTAAGCCACTGCCTTCGGCTCAGGTCGTGATCCCAGGGTCCTGGGATCGAGTCCCGCCTCGGGCTCCTTGCTCAGCAAGGAGCCTGCTTCTCTCTCTGCCTCTGCCTGCCACTCTGCCTGCTTGTGTGCGCTCTCTCTCTCTGACAAATAAAAAAAAAAAAAAAGTCTTTAAAACAGGTGGGAAAGACTGCTCTAGTTGGCCTCATGACTTGCTCTCCTGGACCCTCATGGACAGGAGCTTATTTGGGGATTTCAGTAACAATTAGGCTTGGAGTCTGAGAAGCTTCCCTAGGAGGAGTGATCTCTCAGGGATGAGATGGACCACAGAGTCGGGCAGATGAAGCTTTGGGCAGGGACAGTAAGGAGGCGGGGGATTGGGGTGTTCGCTGTCCTGGAATGGCATGTCGCAGGGTCTGGAGCCAAAACTGTGCGATTGCAGGACGCAGAGGACTTGGTGTGGCTGCTGTGTGGATTACAGAGTACAAAGTGGGGACATGAGGCTGAGAGGTGAGCAGGAGCCGGATTGTGGAGAGCCTCATGTGTC